CACCTGATGCCAGCTGAGGTGGTGTGGGTAAGATTTTTCTGATCTGCCTCAAATGGGTCAAAGAGGGTCTGATTTGGTTGTTGATTAGTAAACCTCATCTTTTGCCCCATATAGGCTGAAGACCACCCCGCGGCCCAAGTTCTCTGTCTGCGTTCTTGGAGACCAGCAGCATTGTGATGAAGCAAAGGCCGCTGAACTGCCACACATGGACATTGAGGCTCTTAAGAAGCTCAATAAGAACAAGAAGCTGGTCAAGAAGCTGGGTGAGTTTAAAAACCGAAATGGACAACGGTACAAGTAAATAACTCTAATGTGCTCAGTGCTGTAGCTAATAGGCTTATTGTTTTTGTGTGTGTGTTTTAGCAAAGAAGTACGATGCTTTCCTGGCCTCTGAGTCTCTGATCAAGCAGATTCCTCGTATCCTGGGCCCTGGCCTCAACAAGGCAGGAAAGTTTCCCTCTCTGCTCACCCATAATGAGAACCTGGGCACCAAGGTGGATGAGGTGAAATCCACCATCAAATTCCAGATGAAGAAGGTATGTCTATATTTGTGATATCTACATACTTTTTTCACTCAAGCATACCCAAGTCTGTTTTTTTGTTATCAAAATAATTGTGAAATTTATTCTTTACAAGATACTTATTTTAAATGCAAATATTCCTGTTAATTTTTTTTTTTAACTGGTTGTCATAATTTTCACATTGTTAGATTTGGGTATTATGCAAGACCAAAGGACTGATGAAAATTATGCTTTGCCATTATGAATAAAGACTTAAATACAGTTAATAGTAATTTTTTTTTCCACAAGTTTTTATTTTTGAGTTTTTTAATTATATATTGGTGCTTAATCTTTATGTATTCGTTTGTTAATTTTTAACTGTATATTTATTGAAATGTTCTTGCCATGAAAATAGTCTTTTGTTGCTTACATAGCATTACAAAAATAATAAAATTGCTATTTAATGTATTTGATGGCAAACTTGTAGGAATGAAGCTTAGTTTACCAACTGCTTTTTGGGTCATGTTTATTTGTGCAAAGTATCTAGCGATTGATGGTTTATGAAATTCTGTAAATGCCAAATTTAATCAACGTTTGATTAAATCACATTAGATTACTATAAGAAGTCAAAGCATAAATTTGTAGGGGTGTCAATCAATTGTTTCTTTGGTGCATCGCGATGCAGGCACGGAATGTTTGGTAATAGATCCTAAATGTTATGTATTAATGTCATTTATCACGCAAGCGCTCTACTGTGACATGACGCAAGTAATTAATGCAGAAACTGAACAATTCACGGTGTTCGCTGGACAGTCTTTCACTGACAAGTTATAGCATGTAGAAAATGAAAGTAAACCATTTCTTTCTCTCATGTTAAAGCAAATTGCAGCCTATGTTGAGTGTGTGACCATTCATAGGCGATGTTCAGAAAGCAAGCAGGACAATATTTTAATTAGTTTATGAATGCTTATGTTGTGTGATGCATATGCTTAAGTTTTGATTAATACATTCACAATGAGTGTTTTCTTTGGGCAGGTAAAATTTAAAAGTACAGTTCATATAAAGATTTGCTTGATTTAGGCACTAGATTGTACTACAAATGCATATAAAATAAGTTACAAAAATTAATTAATAGAATTCTTGTGCTGTGAAATACATAAAACGAAGTGTGGAAAGTGTCGTCAATGCACCGTGATGCACAGAGGTAATGTATTGACATTTTGTATTGATGGCATAATCGTAACCGTACCAGGAGACTAGTGTAGGCTCACACCTCTAATAAATTGAAATAATGATAGAGTATGTAACGTGCATGATGGCCTGAGATGGGATTCGGTGTGCGGCGTGACAGCTGTTCAGCCTGACACTGACAAAAAAGTCATGGTGTTTATTTTTTTTAATGACACCAGTAAAAAAAAACTGAACAATTAATGGTACTGTACTACTGCACAAGCTAAAAATGAACATTTTTTTTAATCCATAAAGTGTGCAGCTTTTGTCAATGTATCTTAATGGGCTTCTGGAAGAACGTTAAGTACACTAGTACATTGATATTAGTATACTTAGTAAATAAAGCATACTTTTATACTTGACCTGTGCTTAGTATACTTTCTTGAGGGTGTATTTACTAGCTTACTAAGATCAGTCTTGTACAGCCAGGTGGAGTATTGCTGCTCTCACAGCCAACTTTGTCAAAGCTAGGGATGCTCTAATCAGGGTTTTTGCAGCCGATACAGAGTAGCGCGATTCCTTGTCTTGTTGATCGGCTGGTACTGAGTACTGACTCTAATGCTTCAAGCTTTATAATGCAATCAGCACAAGAGAAGATCTTGCCTTATATTTTATTTATATGCAAGTTTTCTAGGCACCCAAGGCACTGTAAATTTGTGGCTTGAAGGTTTAGTTAACCATATTATGAAAAGAAAAATTCTTGATGTCATTTTATAACTTTTTTTAAATTTATTTTAATGGTGGTATTTGTCTCATTCAGGTTCTGTGTCTGGCTGTGGCCGTGGGTCATGTGAAGATGAGTGAGGAAGAGCTGGTCTACAACATCCACCTGGCTGTCAACTTCCTGGTGTCTCTGCTGAAGAAGAACTGGCAAAACGTCAGAGCTCTTTACATCAAGAGCACCATGGGAAAACCACAGCGCCTCTACTAGAGACTCTGTTCCTCAGTTTTCTACAATAAATGTGGAGTTGATCCGAATCTCAGCTGCTCTTGTCTTTTTTTGATGACCCCAAATGAATGCTGAATGTTCTCATGATCAATTGCTCTTCACAGCATGCTAATAACTTGTTTAAATTAGAAGCGTTTTATAATTAGTACAAAATGCTGTAATGACGGCTTTTAATGCACAACTGTACATGCTTCAGTGCATGAACAAACTCTAATAATAGTTGCATTTTTTTGTGTCCTAAACATGGCTCATGTCATAATTTAAAGTGATACACTAGTGTTTGTGCATTTCTGTAATAATGGTTTTGAGGGTAATGGCTTGATCTCACTAGTGCAGTTTCTCGACTACGTTTCTGGACGACCACCAACACTGCATATTTTGGATGTCTTTGTCACGCTCATTGAATGACTTTCAGTCTGCTGATGATTTCAGTGAGTGTTTGGTTAAGACATGGTAAATGTCTAGGTAGGAACTTGCTTGAGAATCTGCCCTAGAGCATGTGTCAGCCTTGATTCTAAATGAGGCTCATTAGTCTTCTAGTTTCCTAGTCTATCTTTTAATGAGATTATGCAGGTATGTGAAGAGTGGTAGAGAGCAACAAGTCACCGTAAATCTCATGGTAAGCAAGCTTTATACATAGATATTTGTAGTGGTTCTATAGAAACAGACCCTTAAACAGTAGCCATAAATGTGTATTAAGATAGTGGTTGCTGTGGTGTGGTGTGATTGTCATCTTTATTCTACATAGTACAAAGATGAAACCATAGCTCTTAAAGCAGCTGTGGTGACGTTTTTGTTTCAAATAGCATAAATATCGGATCAAGTGTTCAATATAAGCACAGCTTTAAGATGAGTAATGAGCATTGTCAGCTTTATAATTCCAAAGTGACAAGAATGAGACATCCTGAAGCTAACTCTACAGCTTATTTAATACGTTGCTGATTTATTGTAAGATGTAAATATTACTCAACGTTGTAAACAATAATGTGGGTCAGGCTTGTGAAGACCAGCAAGTGCTATCAGGAAATCTTGCAGAGAACAGTGAAAATGATTCTGAGCAAGGTAATGCATACTGATTGCTCCCAAATTCTCACCAGTATATTTAATTGATGAGCGTATAATATAATTTTAAGTGACTTTGTTTTGTTTAAGGGTTTCGAAATGAGGACCAAATTGATTTGGAAGAGCCATCTGTGTTTGATAGGCTGGGTCCCTACAGGTGATTTTTAAAATCAATTTTTATGGGAATCCAGATATTTGTTGCTTTTTGGACGTTTACATGATATTGGACATTTACAACATCCTATAATGTCTGTTTTTAACTCCATAGTGTTGACATGACAGAGGATGAACTGGAGGTAATTCCTACTATGATTGAAATATTAAACATTTTATATTATCTTCAGCTTGATCTGATATGATGGTTTTGATTTCTACTCATTTTAAATTATTGTTCCCGTTGATTTATTTGCTTTATTTTTTTTCTCAAACGTATACAATATTATAAATCAAGGTTTTTTTTCTTAAATGTGTATACCTTTAAACCGATACATACATAGATATATCTGCTTAAAATATAAACAAAATGTTGCGTTAAACTTTGAAGTTAAAAACAGTTAGGTTTGTCCATATATTTATTAACCAGAAATGTTTGTAACAATGATTTACCAAATAATACATTTAAAGAAACCACAAAGTTTTTTTGTGTGATTTATTTTATTTATTTATTTATTATTATTATTTATTTTTTCAAACATTGAATCTAGTAGATGTCATCAACTGGCAAACCTCTTGCAGGTTGGAAAATTTTATTTAAATACATTCCTAAAAACAATATGATGAAAAATCACGCGAAAATTATATCTCATTATAATTTTTACAAATGATATCTTATCTAAATTTGATCCAACTTTAAAAAATTGAATGCAGCAACGAATGTTTTACAGTGAAGGCTGTGTTTGCTGCGATCACAGGCCGCTTTCTCTCGGCTATCTCTGGCCTTTCGCTGTGACCAGTACACTCTCTGCCAGAGGCTGGAGACGGAGGAGCACGCGCGGGACAACGCTGAGGACAACCTCAAACTGGAGGTGGAGAGAGGCATGGAAGTGCTGGAGGTGGGAATACAATTTTCCAATACATATTTTTTCATTATAGCCTTTACGACTCCAGACTATGGCAATTATTAAAGTGTTTTTAACCTTAGACACTGAAGGGAATGTGTTTCGATATTAAACGAGCCGGGCTTCTCCAACGTCTTGAGCTCTGTCTTAACATCATTGGAGGAACCATCGGGCGAATCTCCAACACAGCAGAGGTTCTTGGGGCAGTGCATCAGGTACTGGTAAATGCCAAATGAGTACTGGGGCCTCCATCAGAATATGATATGCAACACTCAGAAATAAAGTTACAGAAACTGTCACTTGGGCTGATTATTATTATTTAATGCAATTTTACATTTTTAATTCTAAAAACTAATAGTGAATTAAGATAATTTCTGAGGTAAAAGTTAGAATTGTAAGATATAAACTCTACAGTATATATAATATCTAGATTCTAACTCTCCTAAATTGTAAGTTTATATGTTATTTATTTTTAATCTTGTGATTCTGACCTTAATTCAGGGGCTGTATTCACAAAATAAAAAATCAAGGCTAAAAACAGCGCCTAACTAGGAGAAAATCTTTAAATTAATTGTAGACTCATTCCTAAATTTATAATAAAAAACTTTACTCAGAGTATTTCAAGAAACATTTTGGCTCTAAAAGAAGTTCCCAAAATCATGAAGAGGATAACAAGTCAGATACACCAAGCCACAAATTATCCCAAATTGGCTGTTGCTGTCAATCTAAGCATTTAAAAACTTTTGAACACAATACGCTTTTAATAAATTACTGTTTAGGCTCTGTGGTTAGCACTGTTGCCTCACAGCCAGAAGGTCGCTGGTTCAAGTCCTGGCTGGACCAGTTAGTGTTTCTGTGTGGAGTTTGCATGTTCTCCCTGTGTTCATGTGGGTTTCCTCCAGGTGCTCCATTGTCCCCCACAGTCCAAACACATGCACTATAGGTGAATTGGATGATCTAAGTTGGCCATAGTGAGTGTGTGAATACAAGAGTGTATGAGTGTTTCCCAGTAATGGGTTGCAGCTGGAATGACATCCATTGTGTAAAATGTATTCTGAAATAGTTGGCGGTTCATTCCGCTGTGACAACCCCTGATGAACAAGGGACTAAGCGGAAGGAAAATGAATAAGTTACCATTAACTTGTTTTAATTATTTTAAAATACACAAAAACAGCCTAAATAATTTTTCTTAAATATAAAATTTGCCCTTTTTGTTTTTTTTAAAAATATGTTTTAAATGTAATCTTTAAAAGTAGATTTGCTTATTTTTTTAAAACTTGTAACATTAAAAGAACATTTTAAAATGATGTCTAAAACATTAAGCACAAAGAAAATACTTTTTAGAAAGCCTGCATTTTACAATTTTTAAAAAAATATATAGTGTTAATTTTTAACGTTTATTTGAATAGGATGACATAAGATTTCGCTTCACAAAGTTTCCATAAATAAACTTGACAGAGGGACCTCCTCTCCTCATCAGCCAATCTCTGTGTGCATAATTAGTAATCATGCTGACATCAGCCTATGGCTTCTCTATATTTGTTAGTAAAGGTTTGTCTCGGCAGTCCCAGACTTATTTTTCTCACGATTCTCAGAATTCTGAGGGAAAAGTCTAAATTGTGATCTAAAGTCTCAATAACCTTTATTATTCAGTGGTGAAACATGCATACATACTTTCCTAAGTCATAAACAAGATGATTGATTAAATAACGTCAACATAATTAATTCTTCGGTCATTCATTCAATCATTTATTCATTTTCTTGTCGGCTTTGTCCCTTTATTAATCCGGGGTTGCCACAGCGGAATGAACCGCCAACTTATCCAGCAAGTTTTTACGCAGTGGATGCCCTTCCAGTCGCAACCCATCTCTGGGACACATTCATACACACATTCACACACACACTCATACACTACGGACAATTTAGCCTACCCGATTCACCTGTACCGCATGTCTTTGGACTGTGGGGGAAACCAGAGCACCTGGAGAAAACCCACGCGAATGCAGAGAGAACATGCAAACTCCACACAGAAACGACAACTGAGCCAAGGCTCGAACCAGCTACCTTCTTGCTGTGAGGCGACAGCACTACCTACTGCGCCACTGCTTCGCCGTTTCGTCAGTGAATCTACTAATATAATGGATCCCAGCAGTATTTAACTAGACCACCTGGGTCTATCAATGCTCTTTGTCCATACTGTTAGATATTAGAATAAGATTGTATCTCTCACAAAGTTGGTAGTTTAATAAATGTACTTGTAATTTATGTATGCAGGAGGTTAAAGTGAGTCGTGCTGTGGAACTGATGGTGGCTCATGTGGAGAACCTGAACCGCCGTCACGAGAAGAACAGTTTCGAATTGGAGGAGATGAAGAAACAGATGGAGAAAAGCAATAGAGAGCGATTTTTCCATGAGGAGAAGGGTAGGATTAAACCCATTCAGTTATAAAGTTATGAGACATCAGCATTTTAACAGAATTATGTCTCATTGCAGAGGAAACGGATGCTATTGTAAAACCTGAAAAAGACTTACAGAAGGTTAGTGATTTGTTCCTGAAAATGTTTTGTTGTTTAATTGTTTTTGTCAAGAGTGATGATGTTTTAATATTTTGTTTTCAGTCTCATTCTCAGACACAGTTACGGCGGCGAATCAGTACAAATGTCATCTCAAAGGTGCACGATGAGTCTCGTCCATTCAATTTCACAGTCATTTGTTCACCACATCAAAGTGTAACTGAATGTGTATTTCTCTTTTTCTTTTATTTGCAGAGACAACAAGTGAAGGAGTCAGAAACTTTATTATCTTTAGTGACCAGTGAGAGCAGTCAGCGGAGAGAATCAAACCCACAGAAACCAGACAATACAGACGACTGCCTTCTAATGGACAGGAGGTAATTTGATTATATTTATAGAGT